TCGGAGCAGAAACTTCCCTGTAGGGTTTAAGCCTGTGACCTGTTGGAAGCAGATTGCCCAGCCTATCTTCCAAGGTGCCTCTGGGTGTATTTGAACTGCCAACCTTTCAGGAAGTAGCTGAATTGAACCATTTAGGACACTTACATAAGATAATTAAGCTATTGTACAGCATAAGATTTGATTACGTCTACAGGCGTAGAGGCCAGAACTCCGGTAAAGGTTTCCAGGACTCAGTTAAAACACTAACATCATGGCTCTTGAGTCAAGTTGAAAGGACAGTGAGTGGGGATGCTGCTAGAGAGATGAGCAAGGCCCCATCTTCAGGGCTTTGTAAACCTACCTCGAATATTGAGACTTTAGCCTGAGGGCAGAGGGGAGCCACTGGGGAACTTGAAGCGAGACAGTGATGCAGCAGCTTGTGGACTTTAGAAAGATCTGGCCATCTTGTCAAGAGGTGGCTGGAGAGGAGGTGAAGGGGTGAGGCTGATGTAGGTGTGAGAGGACAGTGGACCCCACGGGGCTGGGAGGAGTGTGGGGAGAAGCTGTCAGAGCTGAGAGGGGTGGAGCATCTGGAGGATGATGGAGTAGCTGAGAACTAAGGGGACCCGGAATGGCAGTGTGGGTTCTGTGAGGGCAGCTGCCAATCCTGTGGTGGCATGGGCTGGCGTCTTGGAACGTGATCTGAACCAGAGGGGAGAGCAGGCAGATCTCGGGTGTATTGAGGCTCAGAGGGACTGGGAGGGGGTGCTGAAGCTGGCTCAGAGAAGGGATGTGGGTGAAGGATGTCGGGGAGATGGATGATGGTGGCAGGATGATGCAGACTGGGCTCACCTCTGGTGTCCCCATTGGACACATGGCAGGCACCCACCCAGTCAGCATTATCCTGACTAAATGAACCAGTTGTTACTATTGTCAGCTGTTGTTGGGTCGCTCGTCACTCATGGAGACACCAGCAGGACTATTCCATCCATCTTAAGAAGCAGATCGCCGGACCTGTCAGCCATGGAGTCACTGAGTGAGTTTGAACCATCCACCTTTGGTATGCAGTTGCTGAGGTGTTTGTCCATCCTGGTTTCTAGGTGACAGTCACTGGTCCTGCACTTATCGGCCACTTTCATTTGCTTTGGTCTCATGTGGTGTGGATTGCACCCATTTTCTGACTCTCTCTGCCAACTGCGTTTTCCTCTCAGGGACACGCGAAGTGTTTGGACCTCCACTGAGGACCTGGTGTCACTGGACGCAGCTCTCACCAGCTGCGCTCTGGGTCCCAGCTCCCTGCTGTCTGGGCAGGGAAACACGATGGGGCTGCGGTCTCCTTAGGTTCCTCCTGGTGATGATAGGCTCCAGTCCCCTCTGACCTCGCTCCCACGCTCCTAGAGGATTTAGTTAATGGGGGGCAAAGGGCAGTCATCCCAGCAGAGGCCAAGCTCGCTTCCGTCTTCTCCCTTCTCAGCTCTGATCCGCCTCCAGTCTGCTCTGTGAGTGGTGGGAAAGCTCGTCTGCAGGACTTGTTTTTGTTTTCTTGATGCTGCCATCACACAACATCACAAGTGGGTGGCTTTCATAAGCAGAAATTTGTATTTGCACAGTCTAGGAGGTTAGAACTCAGAGCTCTGGCTCCAGGGGAAGGCTTTCTGGCTCAGAGGAAGGTCCCTGTCTCTTTTCAGCTTCTGGCCCTCGGGTCTTCACATGACATGGACTTGTCTGTTGCCCTCTATGTTTGAGGGGCTACCAAATCTGTTCCTTTTCTATCTCAAAAGCGTCAAGCATGAACACACCCTCCGCCATACAGTGTCATAAGGATAACAAAGAAAACCCCACCGCAAGTCTGTCGTTGTTTACCGGTGAGTTTGACTTGACTCATAGCTGATCCTTCAGCGGGTTTTCAGAGGCAGTAAATTGCACAGGAGGAGATTGCCCATTTTCCTCCCATGGGCTGGCGGGTAACTGAGAACTGAGTACCTTTGGATTGACAGAGCAACTCTTTTCCACTAAGCCACATGTTTAGGAATTAAGGTTTACAACACGTTTATATGGGGACATGATCTATTGTTGTTGTCAGGTGCTGTAGAGTTGACCATGACCCATGGTGTTCCCGAGAACAGCACATCTGGACCCTGCCCAGTCCTGTGCCATTGTCATCGTCTCTGATATATTTGAGCTCCTTGTGACAGTCACTGTGTCAATCCGTCTGGCTGAAGGTCTTCATTTCTTTCACGCATCCTCCACCCTACCAAGCATGATGTCTTTTTCCAAGAACTGACCCCTCCTAACAGCATTCTAAAGTATGTGGGATAAAGTGTCACTGTCCTTCCTTCTGATGAACGCCTTGGTTGCACTTTCTTCAAGACACGTCTGTTGGTTCTTTTGGTCCATGGGACGCTCAGTGCTCTTCTCCAGCACCACAACTCAAAGGCATTGATTCATCTTCTATCATCCTTATTTGTTACCCAACTTTCAGATGCATAGCAAGGGACTGAAAAGATTATAACTTGGATCCAGGTGCACCTTACTCTTTAAACTGACATCATTGCTCCTGAGAACTTTGGAGAGATTCTTAACGGCAGATTTTTCTAGTGTAGTATATTTTTTGACTTCTTGACTGCTGGTACCAAAGATGTTGATTGTGGATACAAGTAAGATGAAACATTCAAACATTCTTCTAGGTCATAAAGCCGTGGTGTGTCCACTTGCTGTACAGAGGTAATTTGTGATTGCTGTGAAGCTGAACACTGTGACACTGATGTGTCAAATGCGCGTTAATGGTTACCCATGGTGGACAGTGTTTGGTGGAGCTCCCCAGTTAAAACAAGCTTGGAAGCAGGAGTGGCATCCTCTTCTGTAATAGCTTGCCTCCAGAAACCCTATGAACCTGGAGAGAGGATGTGAGACACACAAGTGTTGAGGACTTTCGTTCATAGGGCTGCTATGAGTTGCCTACAACTTGACGACACTTAACAACAACAACAACAACAACAACAACAGTATGTCTTTTGACTTCTTGACTGCTGGTACCAAGGATGTTGATTATGGATACAAGTAAGATGAAATTGTTGACAATTTCAACCCTTTCTCCATCTCCCATGTTGCCTTTTGTCTTGGCAGTCAGGAATTTTGTCTTCTCAATGCCGAGGTGTAATCCATACTGAAGACTGTAGTCTGCTCAGAACAGCAAGTGCTTCCGGTCCTCAATGTCAGTCCTTGGCTGTAGCGTGGGAATACTGGTTGTTGGGGACTGAACTGCGTCCCTCAAAAGACACGTTGAAGTCCTAACCCTCAGTATCTGGGAACTTGACCTTGTTTGGGATAGGGTTTCTGAAGATGTCAGTTGACATGGGGTCACATTGGAGTAAGGATGATCTAATGCAGTCTGAGTCCTGATAATAAAAGAGGAGACAGACAGACAGGAAGGATGGACACGTGGGTCTGCATCTGCACATTGGGGACAATCTAGTGATCCCCGAAGCTGGGGATCCATGCAAAGGCCTCCCTAGAGACATCAGAGGGTGTGGCGCTGCTGAGCCCTGAAGTCTAGTCCAGTGTCCAGAACTGTGGACGGCACGATTCAGCCTCGGCTGTGATGCCTGATGGGGCAGCGTGGGAAACCAGCAGACGGATGCCTGCAGTACCCGGTGGGGCAGTGAGTGTATGGACTGCACCACGGGCGCCCCTTTGGGGGACAGCACCCAGGCCTTCTCATGAACACAAGGCAGCATTTGATTCCCCTGCGGGCTACAAGGAAAAACCACTGTCCTGAGACCAGCGCAGAGGTTCAATCCCCACTGTTTATTCCCTCCTACGGAGAGGAGGAGAGGCGCCATCAGGGGGGCTGGACACACAGGGCGACTCCTTGTCCCTCAGGGAGGTCACACTGCAGGCCATGGGGGTGGGGAGGAAGGGACAGCATGGTCGTGCACCCTGACCTGAGATGTGGGTGGACAACAGGGGAGGCGTTGGCTCCATCTCTCAGCAACCCCCCCCTCCTCCCCCAGATGGCCTGGGCCAGAGCCTGGCAGGGCCACTTTATAGAGATGGGAAACAGAAATGGGGCTTCTTGCTCAGAGAGGAGGAGGGAAACCCCCCACTCCGGCCTGGCCCACTGCAGCCCCTCTATCCTGAGGGTCCAGGTGCCCATGGGGTCTAGAAAGGCCTTAGAGGCCACCTGGTCTATTGCCTTAGTTACAGTGGGGAAACTGAGGCCCAAAACATGGTAGCAGCGTACAAAGGGCACAGCAGACCCGAGGTCAGACCACTGACGTGCTACTTGACCTCTGCCCCACTGAGTGGCCTGACAGTGTGACCTGTATCAGCCTGTGGAGGCCAAGGCTGGACGCAGGGCCACCCTCTGTGCGGTATTCCGGACTTCTTATTGTGTACTACTGGGTTAGAATAGACTCATGGCAGACCCTACAGCTCCGCAGGGAGCTTTGGTGGCTTTGCAGTTAGGGGTTGCGCTGCCAAGCCAAAGGCACGTAGTTCGAATCCACCACTTGCTCCCTCGTACACAGATGGACAGTCTTCTCCCAATGCCCTTCAGGGCCTCTGCAAACCCACCGGAGGATCAGCTACAAGTCGGATCTGACACAGCTTCCTGGGTTTGCTGAGCTTAAAGACCTTCCTAAGCATGCGCAGATGAGGTCTGTGGGCGGGCCTCGAACCCTGGGCTCCCTGTGAGACCAGAGCTCCCCTGACCCTGTGACAAAATGAGCAATCAGGACAAATGAAAACCGGGGGGGAAGGAGGGAAGGGGGAGAGTGAGGGTGTGTGTGGAAATAAGACAACACGGCCTGACACCAATCTGTGCTTTTTAGGTAAGAAATTGCTGGAGGAGTGTGGGGGACAGATGTCAGGGGGTGAGGTTTTGCTCGGGCGCCACAGCAATGTGGGCATTTGGGGGAAAGGGGAGACAGGACTCAGAAAGGCTGCCCTCCTCCCCCTGCCCCCCATTAACGAGCTGGGGGCTGGGGAGAGGCTGGGCTCCAGTCCCCCAGAGTGGCTGTCTACTCCGAAGACTCCTTGGGCATGTAGGCCACGTTGTCATAGGCGGGAGGCGGGGAGGCTGCCGGGCTGGGGATGTTGAAGTCGGTGCTGAAGGCGTTTGGCAGGAAAATCACAGGCTGCAAAGGAAAACAGTCAAGGTCGCTGCTGTTCAGAACCTGGGGCGCTGTCTCCGTGGTGACACCTTGTGGGCGTGTTGAGCACAGAGTCCGTGTCTCTGCTCAGCCTCATTGGAGCCCCCCAGTGGCCAGCAGGAGAATAGCCCCACTTTCATTTGTCCACAGACTCCTTGGCCTAATTCCCCTGACTCCTGGGGACCAGAGGAGCACTGTGCTCCCCGGGGGTTTCTTGGCTACAGTCTCAAAGGAAGCAAATTGGCAAGTCTATCTGCCATGGCCCGCTGTGTGAGTTTGAGCTGCAACTTTTAGAATACCTGTTGAGTTCAAAGCCTTTGCATTGGCCTAGATTTTGGCTCTTTGGGAAACCCTGATGCGTAAGAGTGGGCCTCTCTAGAAGCCCAGGCCCTACACTCTCCTCCCCCAGGAACTGGAAGCAGTGAGATACCCCCTCCAAGCAGAGCTCCCACCAGCTCAGATACGAGGTGGGCAGGGGCAAAGTGCTCACCGCATTGGCTTGGGCCCTGGTGGCTTGGCACCCAAAGTGGGTGGCGATGACAGCGATGAAGAACTCCAGGATGGTGAAGATGGTCAGCACGGCCAGGTAGCCCCTGCCCACGTCCTGGTGACACAAAGCCCAGTCAAGGCACGCCTCGCCAGAGGTGCTGGAGTGGGGGAGGTGGGGGCCCAGACAGAGAGAACCAGCCCAAGGTCATGGCGAGTTGGTGACAGGGCTGTCCTTGGACTCAGTCATCTTGCTGCCAGCCCTGTGTCCCCTCACTTTGTCCCCCAATGCCCCATTCCTAGGGGAGGGTCCCAGGGTCGATATACTCGTGACATTCCCTCCTGCCCCCTTTCTGGATCTATCCCCCAACACTCCCCACTCCAGGAGACACTGGACAACATACCCAGTTGGTGACACCAAAATCCATGAGCAGGATGGCTGTCCCGGCAAAGGCCGCCATGGCGCTGAGGATGTTGGTGGCCAGGCTGCTTCTTACCTGCAGGAAGGGGAGAGACAGAGGAGACTGGCCGGAGGGGCAGGGGAGGGGGGAGAGGAGGAAAAGGGGCAGCAGGCTCCCCTTGCCTGAGCTGGGCCAGGACACCCCCTCCAACACCCTCCCAGGAGGCAGCTGGGACAGTGACATGAGCCTGGCTGTGTGCTTGTTGGACAGCAAGATGAGATCTGTCACCTTCTCCTTCATGGGGCACTGGGAGGGGGGCTCCTGCTGCCTAGCATATATGTCTGTCTTGGAAGCTGCTGGAAGGGAAGCTGGCCTTGAAGGAGGGTTCTAGAGTCCGAGTCTCCCTGTCCTTTACCCCCTATCCCCAGGGGCAGGGGCTGGGGAGGCTCCATGCTACAGCCGTTGAGGCCCAGTCTCCACATTTCCAGGGGGTTTCAGGCAAGAGTGGGCAGAGTACAGTACTAAGACCATCCGGGGTCTGCCTGCCTGTGGATGAGGGTGCGCATGAGGGGGTGAGGAGGATGGGCTTACCAGACAGCTGGCGTGGTTCTTCTCAGCAGCCACCGAGAGGGACCCCGAGATGATGAACTGCGACGAGGAGAGAGGACTCAGTGAGACATTTGCTGCCCCCTTCTCTGGGGGTTCCACTCCTGGTGGACTGGGACCCCACGGATGCTAACGAGGGACCCTGTGGCATGTAGTTCTCTTCTGACACACATGGGTCACCATGGGTTTGGAACTGATGCATGACCACATGACAGCTTTTGTTCTCCCTAAATTTATCAAGAGATGACTCCCCGGCCCCGCCTCGGCTCAGCTGAGTTCAGGGATGCGCGTGAGGTGGGGCGTCCAGGGGGAATGGAGAGTCTGGGCATGGACCCTCCCACTGTGGCTCCAGCACTCACACAGGCTCCGCCCCAGAAAGGAACACCACCTTCGATGAACAGCATCCCCACGTGTCCACGCCGGACCATGAGCAGGACGCTGCCGAAACCCAGATGGATGAGGCCGATGAGGATCTGCACTGTCTGCGGGGAGAGGAAGAGGCTCAGCGGGCGTGGAGAGGGCTCTCCCGCGGTGCCCACACTGCCCCCTGCTGGCCCGAGGAGAGCCAGGTCAAGGTCAAGGAGCAGGGAGGCCATGGGGTGAACTCCACACTGCCCCCTGCTGGCCGGAGGAGAGCCAGGTCAAGGTCAAGGAGCAGGGAGGCCATGGAGCCAACTCCATACTGTCCCCTGCTGGCCGGAGGAGAACCATGCCAAGGCCCAGGAGCCCACACTGCCCCCTGCTGGCTGGAGGAGAGCCAGGTCAAGGTCAAGCAGCAGGGAGGCCATGGAGCCAACTCCATACTGCACCTGCTGGCTGGAGGAGAGCCAGGTCAAAGTCAAGGAGCAGGCCAACCATGGAACTGACTCCACACTGCCCTCTGCTGGCCGGAGGAGAGCCAGGTCAAGGTCAAGGAGCAGGGAGGCCATGGAGTGAACTCCACACTGTCCCCTGCTGGCTGGAGGAGAACCAGGTCAAGGTCAAGGAGCAGGGAGGCCATGGAGTGAACTCCACACTGCACCCTGCTGGCTGGAGGAGAGCCAGGTCAAGGTCAAGGAGTAGACAGGGCATGGAGCCAACTCGACACAGCCCCCTGCTGGTCAGAGGAGAGCAAAGCAGCAACTCCCTAACCTAGACCTGACAACCAGAAACAAATCTGATTCCTTTCCTTTGAGGAGACATCGTGAGAACACACATACGAGACATCTGTAAGTAGAAAGACCAGGCCCCCACAGCCTGTGAGGCCCACTCATCTGTTTCCCTGTCCCTGAAGATGTCCTCTTCCTGATTCCCAATCCTGTGGCCGCATGGTGAAGGCGTGACTTTCCTATGGAGTTGTATCTTGCTTTGTGCCCTTATCCGCAGCTCTCAGCACAGCTCTGTTAGACCTCGTTCTAACATGACCGGCACTGCTGTGCGCCTGCTGGTCACCCTCTCACCATGAGCTTGCAGCCAGCCCTTTCTCTCTGAGTGTCTTTCTTACCCAATTGTCCATCACCGATTGATCCATTTAGCCATGGCATCGCCTCTGGACTTGGACATTTTTTAATGTTTTAAATGCACCCCTAGACCTATTTTAAAAGATGGATGGCCCCCAAAGGTGCCTCACTGGCTCACTGCTGTTGAGTTTGAACGCACACATAGCTGATCCTCCAGCGGGTTTTTAGAGGCAGTAAATCTCAACTTCTTCCCATGGAACAGCTGGTGGATTCAGCGCTTCCAGGATTGCAGCACAGCTTCTTGTCTTTGTCCTACTGTGTTGCTAAGAGTTAGAATCAAGGGTGGTGGAATGGGGTGGGGTATCCTAATTTTAGAGGTGAGGAAACTGAGAGTCAAAGGTGATAAGGAATTTGCCCAAGGCCTCTTGGCTGTGACTGCAGTCTTCCTCAGTCTTTCTCATTGGGTGGCACTCCCTAACACCTATCTGTTTCCCATTTATTTTAAAAAAGGTTTTGGTTTTCAGCAGTTTGGATGTGTCCCCACAAATGCCTGCGAGGCCATCATTTCCCAAGGTCTGCTCTGAGGCTCAAAACCCCAGTGATTGCATTCAGTTGACTATGGGAAGCCAGTACTCAATATTTGTAATAAACTAAATGCTATTTCAGGATGTGGGGGAGGCACGGTTCAAGCTAGAGATCACCCTGAGGCACTAAGGCAATCCTTAAGGGTATACCAGATTCTTGCATTTGCTGACCCCTCCCTCCTGAGTCAGGGGGCGGGTTTTCAAGAGAAAGAGCTTGGCTTCATTTGCACTGAATTCTCTTTGTGATTTGCTTCCTGATAATTTTCAGTAAAGATACAGGGAAGCTCATGTCGGCCTTTCAGGCAAGAGTTGCTGGCCCCTTGTTTTTACCTCTTTGTTTTATTTTATTCCCCACTGTCTGTCTCATAATTATAAAATAATTATAAAAATACTTTACCCTTGGTCTGCAGCAGTTTACTTTGTCCATCTCCAGCCAGTTGAGACCAGAAGAGAAGTGAGCTTATAGGATGACACTTATCAGTGTTGTGACTTCAGGCACTTGGCTTAGCCTTGCCAAACCTGTATCCTGTTCTCTTCAATGTAAACTGTGAACCCCTGTCTCAGAAGGTGACAGTGAGGATGTAATGATTCTATACAATATGTCCTTGGTGCCATTCATGACTCCCTGGGAGGTGTCCAATAAGTGGGAGCCATCACCAGTCACCATCATCATCACCGCATTGTTCAGTCTATGTTTTTGTCTTCCACATAGAGACTGGAGCCAGGGGATGAGCTGAAGAAAACACACACACACACACACACACAGACACAGAGTTCCTGGGTGGTGCAAATTATTAATGTGCTTGCCTACTGTAATCATTAATACTGTATGTCAGCATGGTCCTTAATATTGGAAGCAGGAGTGGCATCCATTTCCGAAATAGTTTGCCTCCAGAAACCTATGAACTTGGAGAAATGATGAAAGTTATACAAGTGTTCTGGTCTTTTGTTCATAGGGTCTCTATGAGTCATCTACAACTCGATGGCACTTCAATAACAACATCAACAACGATGAGAGAGATCAGTTGGCCTAGTGGACAGAAAGTGATGCTACCAAGCCAAAGGTCGGTGATTTTAATCTATGGCCCTCAGGCCTGGTTTTAATTGTTTTTGGTTAAACATTCTTCTAAGTGGTATAGCACTGGTCTGTCCATTTGCTGTACAGAGGTAACTTGTGGTTGTTGTGATGCTGAACACTGTGACATTGATGTGTCAAATGTGATAATGGTTACCCATGGTGGACAGTGTTTGGTGGAGCTCCCTGATTAAAACAAGCTTGGAAGCAGGAGAGGCATCTACTTCTGAAATAGCTTGCCTCCAGAAATCCTATGAACTTGGAGAAACGATGGAAGTTATACAAGTGTACAGGTCTTTCGTTCATAAGGTTGCTATGAGTCATCAACCACCTGACGGCACTTAACAACAACAACAACAACATGTGCACAATTTTTACTATAATGGACTGTGTGGTATTAAGGGTTTTTTGTTCCAAATGACTTTTCTAGCCATTGACTTTGACTTTGCCACATAGATGGGTGGGGATACATGAATAGGGTGTATTAACCCATCCACGAGGTGACTGGCTAGTCTCGCCACTAAACTGAACGAACCGATCCGCAGATTTTGAGAATCTTACCACCAGCAAAGAAGAAGCAGGCATGCAGTACACGCCCTGTAGGGCCAGAGGTTCTTACACCAGCCACGTCCACAGCAGTAGGAGATGTGGGCACAGCAAAGAACCAGAGACCTGAGATGAGACAGAAACCACCTTGGGAACGCTACCCCATGGAACCAGAGCTAAGAGCTTATTGCACGAGTTTTTTAGAGGACTAGGGTTGGGGGAGGAGGAGAGGGACTAAGGGCTTTGTAACACTGGTCTAAAGATGTGAGGCTGGGGAGCCTATGAACACATTTTGAAAGCTGTCCTGACTGAGTGAGTGTATCTGCCACCAACTTTACTTAGAGCCTTTTGACTTCCCAGATACAGTTCTGTGTAATTGGTGAGCTATTGCAATGTGTTTTTGGACCCAGTAGAGCAGTAAGATTGATATTGGAATGAGTAGAAAAGAGGGATGGGAGTGAGGGGATTTGTCTGGCCTCATAGGACTTGCATGGTTCAAAATTGGGAAGGGTGTACGCCAGGGATGCATCCTGTCTCCGTACCTTTTCAACCTGTATGCAGAACAGATTATTTGGGAGGCTGGGCTCTATGAGGAGAAATGTGGGGTCAAGCGATTTACTAACAATCTGTGTTATGCAGATGACACAACCCTGTTTGCTGAAACTGAGGAGGACCTGAAGCTCCTGCTGCAGAGGGTCAAGGACTGCAGCCTCCAATATGGATTGAGGCTCAATGTCAAGAAGACAAAGATTCTCACAACTGGACCAATTGGCAGCATCAGGATGGATGGTGAAGAGATTGAGATTGTTCACAGCTTTAGTTTGCTTGGCTCCACAGTCAACACTCTTGGCACCAGTAGCCAGGAAATTAAAAGACATATTGCAATGGGGAAGTCTGCTGTTAGGGACCTCTCCAAAGTACTGAAGAGCAATGGTGTCTCTCTGGAGACTAAGGTGCATCTGATATAGGCCATGGTCTTTGCAATCACTTGTTATGCATCAGATAGTTGGACAAAAACCAAGGAGGATAGATGCCTTTGAGCTGTGGTGCTGGATAAGAGTATTGAGAATACCATGGACTGCTAGGAAAACAAACAGATTCATCCTGGAAAGAGTTAAACTGGGTGGCTCCTTGGAGGCAAGGATTCTGAGGCTCCGTCTGACATACTTTGGACATGTTGTAAGGAGAGACTGGTCCTTGGAGAAGGACATCATACTTGGGAGGGTGGAGGGACAGCACAGGAGGGGAAGACCCTCTATGAGGTGAATTGATTCAGTGACTGGGATAATCGGGATGGGAGTGTCAGAGACAGTGCGATTGGCACAGGACAGAGCAGAGTTTAGGGCTGTTGTACATAGGGTCGCTATGAGTCACAAGCGACATGGCATATAACAACAACAACAACAACAATGGCATTGATTTTGATCTATTGATGTTGTTGACATGGACAGTGCCCCTTGGTGGAGTCAGTAAAGGCCCGATATGGCCATCCTCATCTTGTGCTTTTATTTCAGCACCTCTTCACTTTATTTTGGCTTCTTGATGCTCCAGTGCCATTTTCAGTGTCTCTTCTGACATCTATTTTGGTTTTTTCTTTCTCCTCTCTTTTTAATGACCTTTTCTTTTTAGTGTGTTTGATCCTTTGAGCTCTTCATGAATGATATCCTTAACAACAACAACATGCTGGCCTTGCTATTTTTACAGGAACCATTCTGTTTGTTGTCAGTTCTAACCTCTATGATTTTAATAAAACAAGGTTGCCACAATAGGATTATTCTTATCTGCTAAGAGGAGGTCTCCACACAGGTAGCCTACGTGGTATTTATGTTAGGGATTTTTTATTTTTTTAGGAAAAAAAAGCCCTGGTGGTCTAGTGGTAAAGAGTGGTACTGCCAACCCAAAGGCAGGTAGTTTGAATCCACCAAGGGCTTTGAGGAAGAAAGATGGGCAATCACCTCTCTTGGAATTTACAGCCTCTTAGAATCTGCTAGAGTGTAGGCTGTGAGTTGGGTTCCAACTTGACACCACATAAAAAAACAGAGAGCTTTTCTGTGAGCTCTGCTCCTGGCTGTCTGTTGTGTCTGCTCTCCAGACGTGAACCCTTGGCTTATCTGTCACGCTTGCCAACAGAGCCAGCAGTCTTCATCCCTGCTTTCCACGATGACCTTGGACATCCCAGCCTCTCAAGTCAGAAGTTGAAAGTGGCCGAAGGCAGTCATCTGAGACCCTGCTTTCCATCAATGACCTTGGACCTCTCAGCCTGTGAAATCTAAAGTCTCCAGATCTAGCAGCATGAGGCCCCGCCTGCTGACCACCTGGACTCTTGCTTCCCCAGATGCCTCTCAAAGTCTCACCTGTAGACCTGAGACTTGTCTCTGCAAGCACCAGGAGCCACTTTCTTGAAAGAAATCTTTCTCTCTAAGCTCCCTCAGGTTTATTTCTTTAGAGAACCCAGCTTATGTGGATTACTAATTGAGAAGTTGGGAGTTCATGTGGTTCAAGTTCATGCAGAGACCACTTAGGAGAAAGGCCTGATGACCTACTTTCAAAAAAACCCCAGCCTTCGAAAACTCTATGGAACATTGTTCTGCCCTGATGCACTTGAGGTCGCCAGGAGTCAGAATCAATGCAACAAAAATGAATCTACATGCGCCTATGTGTAAGTATCGACACATATCACTCAGCACCATGGTATAAATCCTTCACAGTGTGCAACCTCACACCCTCTTTCTCTGAATTGTTCTGTCATCATTGACTTATGCTCATTGCTCCTAAGTGTCACATCTAATCTTTCTAGTTGTTGCCAATTTGATCTCACATAGAAAATTCTTTACAAAGGCTGAGGCTCAGTGCAGACATGCATGTACATACTAGGATGAACTATTGGTTCAAAGAAGACTTTTGGGGATAGTTTCAGGTTAGAGTGGGAAGTTTATGAGAGGTGCTTCTTACCCCTAAAGCCTTGGGCTCTCCGGTCAGGAATGTGTCCAGGGGCCGCAGGTCGGGAGGTTGCGTGGACCGGGGCGTCTGCGCCCCCAGTGGTGGCTCCTCAAACTGCATGATCCCCGGAGGCTGGCACATGGCTGTGGGCAGAATGGCTGGCGGGGGGCGCAGGCCACTGGCGTTGCTGGGCGGGATGACCACGAACACGCCATTGCTGGCAGGGGCTGAGGACATTGTGGTCAGGGAGCCTAGGAAACAGGAGCTTGGGAGATAACAACAATAATTTTAATAATAATAATAAAAATAAAAAAAAAATAAAAATAAAATTATTATTTTGGGTTTATGAACACCATGCTCGCCCACATCTGTGCACATAGTTCCGTGGGTGTGGCACTGATTTTCTACATGTGGACGGAGAAGCTCGGACTTGAAGGACTTGAAAACAAATGAACCAATCATTTGCCACTGAGTCCAATTCTGACCCATGGTACCCTGTATGTGCAGATTTGACTCGTACTCTGCAGAGCACCCAAGGCTACGATATTTTTTTTTGAAGCCAGGCCTTTCTTCCAAAGTGCCTCTGGATGGGAGATTCAAACCATTGACTTTTTGGTTAATGGAAAGCTTTGTGCCACCCAGGGGCTTCCAGAGAAGTGAGCCTGTTAACATTGAATTGATTCTGACTTGGGGTGAGCCCACGTGTTACAATGCAGAATTGCTCCAGATGCTTTTATTGGCTGTAATCGTTTGGGAAGCCAACATCCAGGCCCACCATTGGGTAGGCTTGAACTACCAACCTTTTGGTTGGTGAAACCTGTTTGTACCACCCAGGAAACCTAGAGAGGTGAAGGTTGCCCAAAGTCAAGGCCCTCTGACTTGAACTCGGCTTTCTCTGACTCCAGAGGTTAGTCTCAGGGCTAATTCAGTGTGTCAAGGACCTTTGGTTCTGTCCAAAGGACTTAAGCCCTGTCTGTTGCACAGAGAGAATAAGCACATTGTCCGAGAACACACAGCTAGTGAGTGAAGCAGAATTGAAAGAGTCTGTGTTTCTTTGTAAACCAGAACTCCCCCACCATTTCCAGTTCTCTGGGGTCCATTAGGACTCCAGCCTCAGCCAGGGGGACGGACTGTCCCAGGCTGTGGGAGGGGGCTGAGTGGCCCCAGACAGGAAGCTGTGCTGTAATCACCAACCTCTCTCCTGGGCAGGTGGTGAGAAAACGCGCTGTCACGGAGACCTCACGCTCCTTAGGAGAAGAGAAAACACTGACAAAAATAAGCTCTGCTCTGAAAATAAGGCAGGTTAAGTGACAATCATGAAAGTGTCACCTGGTTCCTGACACTCTCTACCTCCCTCTCCTGCAGCCACCAGCCACCCTGGAACCCCTCAGGCCAAGGTCCACCCCTCTCCTGAGGCTGCCTGGCCCAAGTGCCCAGCTGTGTGCCACCTGGGAGAAAAAGATCTTCTTACTGACCAGTCAGCGGGCACAGCTGAGTGCCAGGGTAGGTGAGGTGTGAGCAGGTGAGCGGGGATCATGGGAAACAGGGAAAACTAAGATCTCCTGCCTCCAGGTACCAACCAGGCAGACAGCTACGTGTGGCAGAGACACCACTTCTGCATAAGGCTTTATAGATCAAGGACTAAATGAGGCCAGAGACTCTGACAGTAGCCCTATGTGGTAGGTTGTGATCTGCCCATTGTGCAGACTAGCAAACTGAGGTTTGGAAATAGCGGTGCGAGACAGACGGTGGGCCTTGAAATGTGTCGGGGATGATGACAGGGATATTTCAGCTGAAACCAGACACAGGGATGAGCTGGATCACGGACAGCCCAGTGGGATGTGAGGCGGCAGGTGACTGAGAACCTACTGCACGGTTGACTGTGTCCCCCGCAGGGCTGGGGGTGCAGGCTGAGGGAGGACTCCAGTGAGAGCATTTAAAAGTCTGAGTACTAATGGACTTGGGGGGAGGGATGGTATAGCAATGAAAGAGTTTTTCTTTTACTTATCAAGGAGAAAAGTGAATTGGGGGTGGGGAGGGGGTGGGCAGGGAAAAAAAGGCAACAATGAATGACTGGAAACCCTAAGTCTCTGTAAACTTGCATTAAAATTAATTAAAGGGCAAGCTCTGGTGGCTTAGTGGCAAGAAGCTGCAACTACAGTCTCAGAGGTGCACGGTTCAAATCCACTAGATGCTCTGCTGGAGAAGGAGGAACAATCTACTCCTGTACCAGTCAGATCTGATTTGACGGTACACACAAAAAATAATGAAATAAAGTAAAATTAATTAAAAAAAAAGTTTGAGCACTGTGGAATGCTAGGAGTGGAGAACACTTCCTGGTTCACCTGGGACGAGAGACTGGCTTAAAAGAGATGGTTGTTAGGTGCTGTCGAGTCGAGTAGGACTCACAGCGAGTCTATGAACAACAGATCTGAACCCTGTCCTATCCTGTGCCATCTTCATAATTTCTGACACACTTGAACCCATTGCAGCAGTCACTGTGCGATCCATCTGGTTGAGAGTACCTGCAAAGCACAGTGCCTGACATGTTGGAGGGATCTAGCAATGTTCAGCTTCTATTATTAGTAGTTTGATGAGCAGACCACCCCTCGACTGTCAGCTCGTCTGACTGTGATGGCTTGTGTGTTGCTGTGATGCGGAAGCTGTGCAGCTCTTGTTGGGCACCATAGAGTCAACTGTGACTCACAGCGACCCTGTGGACAGCACAGTCCTTGCCTTGTCCTGCGCCATCCTCACGGTCCCCTCCCTGTGCCGGGGCCTGCTTGCATAGCCACTGTGTCCACCCATCTGGTTGAGTGTCCTCCTCTTCTTTGTTGACCCTCTGCTTGCCCAAGTGCACTGTTCTCCTGATAACTTGCCCCTCCTGATAACATAACCGTGTGTGGGACCACGCCTCACCACCGTCCCCCCACCCTCGGCTCCCAGGAGCTCGCTGGCTGCTTCCGAGAAAGATTTCCTTGTTCACTCTTCTGTCCAAGCACCAGCGGGGAGGCCCAGGGTCCTCAGGTTTCAGCAAAGCTCCCAGACTGAGACAGACTAGGAAGAAATCACCGGCCAGGGAGCACCTCAGTGGGGCTTTGCCTGACACAATGCCAGAGATGACCCCCTCAGGTTGGAAAGAGCACTCAAAGTAGGACGAGAGAAACTGCGTCTTCCCAAGAGCGTCATTCTTGAGTGGCTGGAGTCAAGCTTCTGGGAAAGACATGAAGCTTTGCATTCACTGAAAAACAGCTGCCACAGCGGCTGTGAGGGTGGATTTCACTCTGTTATGCGCAGGGCCTCTATGAGTTGGGGTTGACTCTGTGGCACCTCACAGCAACAACGTGTCAGATGATATTATTCCCATTTTGTAGATGAGGAAACTGAGCTTAGAGACATTAAATGAGGGACGTGATCTTGGACGTTCCTTTCCATGCCTCAGTTTCCCCATCTGAAATATAGGGTGAGCGGGTGCCTCCTTGTTCCCTGAAATCCCTCGCAGGGTGCAAACCCCTTTCCTCTAGCACTTGGTCGTTGTGTGAAGGGTTTGGGCGAGGTGGCTTTGCTCATCCTGGGAGCTCCTTTCTGGAACTCTCCTGAGGGGATGTAGTGTGTAAAATCCCTCCCCCTGTGGCTCAGCACACCCTTCTCAGGGTGGGAGCCTGTCAGGAGGGATGGACGGCCATTGCCTGTCATTCTGAAGGTGGTGATGGTGACTGGCCCAGAGGAGGGATAGAGCTGGGATGCAAACTGAGAGCCGTGGGCCGCAGCATTTGCTTTTTCTCAGCTCCTCCTGGTGGCTGTGCTGAGGGGCTGTGCTGTTCTGAGATGGGGCTCAGTGGAAGGCCTGTGCCCAATGTCTTCGGTGAACCCCAGAATATGTGTCCACTCGGTTTCCCTCCACCCCACACTCGGCTCTCCTGGCCTAACTCCTAACTCCTGCACCTCCCTGCCTTTGATGGAGTCCAGCCCTGTCATGTGCTGCCCTGGAGGAACAGGCCGTGATACTCAGACTGTAAGCCTCCCTGGGCATAGATGAGAACCCAGAGCAAGTTGTCTGACCTCTCCAGGTCTCAGTTTCCTCATCTGTCAAATGGCTCACTGTGCCAGGCTCCCGAGGAAGATGGCCCATGTACTGCCCATCCTGGCCCCCGAATGGCCCTGCTCTCTGCCCTCACCATCTGGGTTCTCGCCATCTGGCTGTGTCAGGGGAGACCCCGAGAAGTGCTTAGCTATGAAGAATCTTAAGGTTGGTGGTTTGAGTCCACTGAGAGGTGCCTCTGAAGAAAGGCCTGGGGATCAGCTTCTGGAAATCCAGACGTTCCTAACCCCTAGAGCACACTTTTACCCCGATGGAGCACTCTGGAAATCAGAGCTGGTGGGTGGCAGCTGGACCTGAAGGCTGACAGCATGGTGTTGAGTGGACAGAGGGCCATCCCAGGCTCCTCCAGTCCTCCTTCCATGTGCCATTTTTTTTCTCTTCCAGGACAGTGTAGTAACCCTGTCCACTGGCCTGAGGTCAAAGGCCAGCAGGCCACCCCTATCCCCACCCCCCCATAGATGGGACCACACCCTGTGCTCACCCCTCAGCAGCATTCCTATCCAGTCCCCTCTGCTGTTTTCTCTCAGGGCCAGGGAGCAGCCCCTTCCCACCCCTGGGTTTCCCCTTCCCCTCTCACAAATGAGGGGTGTGGCATTGCTGTCCAGAAGCTCCCCTCTGGCTGGGAAGCCTTTCTTTTTTCTCTCCTCAGATTGGAAACAGGGCAGGGGGCCTGCATTCTGCCTAGCCAGGGGGAGGGCAGTTGTGGCCCCTGAGTCTCTAGGAGATACTAGAGTCCCCTGAGGACAGCAGACACCCTCCCTTCTGTCCTCCACTTCCTGTGCAGCCCAGGTGCCCTGTAGCAGCCTGGCCTGGGGCTCTGGGAGCCTTCCGGGTACCCTCAGTGCCAAGTGGGGGTGTGATCCTGAGGTGAGGTCTCATTCTGGCTCCTAACCCCAGGGCCCTGCCCTTGTGCCCCTCTCTGCTGGCCAAGAGACCCAGACCCATGGTGGCCTGGGTGGCCGGTACTCACCAGGCGGCCACGGCTGCGGTGTCCTGGACGCTGCCCTCTCTCCGCTGCCTCTGCACCCGCAGCTGCCTCTCCCCAGTTCACACATTTTCCTGTGAAACCCTTGCTGGGCGTGTGGGGCTTGGAAATCCACTCAGCTCTGTTGCTGTCTCTGGAGGTTCCCAGACCCTCCTG